GCCCCCCCCAAAAAGTATTAAAAAATGTGGAGGGTTGTGCCTTCTTTTGCCAATCATTTAACTTTTCACCTGAATGATGGTTCTAGACTTGGTTATCTATCTCAGTTCCAATGGAATGTATGTCACTCCACTACCAACTAACTGATTTTTTCATTTCACTCACCTCTTCTTATCATCTGTCTGGTGGACCAAGGTTTAGTTTCCTTTACCATCTAATTGTTTCCGCAGTTCTTATATTCGACTGGTCTCTGGTCTTGATTTGGCATGGGTGTCTGACCGTAGCAATGGACTTCATGCACGCGGCCACCCACACTGGCTCCAACTTCAACTTGCAGCAGCTCATTTACTCCATTTAGCATTGCAACTACCAGCTCATAGACTTCCCCAATTTCAAATGTAAGTACGAGAAATATTCTTTACTATGTTGTGAATTTTGTAAATGTACCCATAATTTGAAACGAAAGTTGTTTTTGATCTGATGTGTATATTTTAATTGTGCCTGTATTTCTGTCAAACCTTTTTTATTAATTTTTTCGTACAGGTATCGTTGGGCATTTGTGGGTTCTTCAGAAGTGTCCAGCCTCAACAACAATAATGCAAGCGTCATGGGATGCATCAGCTCATCCTCTCCACCTGCATCCGACGACGATTCAGGGCGCTCTTTGCAATTTATTCCTCATGTTTCCAGGATAGCACGACTCATGGATTCTAAGGTATTACCAAAATCTATCTATTGATCTCTTATTTACAATTTTCGCTGATGTATTTATTCAGGGTGTCCCGTTTAAGGTAAAACTTTTCCGCCACTAGTTAGAATCAATAGCCTTGCTGTGGCTGAGGTTGGCTCATCTTTTCCATACCTCCAACTTGGGTCTTGGAGTTGAGCCAAGTTGTGTCAAATCCAGGAAACGAGCCTAGTAGTTTGCAGTGAAACAATATGTGTTTAAAAAGGGGCGAGAAAATTTTACTTAAAATGGGACGTCCTGAACTACACTGTATGTTAGTGGCAATACTCATCAAGCATCCAATTTCCTTTTTTTCCAGTATGAAGGTCCCGTCGAGCTTCCTGTTGGAAGTGCGTTATTGCCAGCGACGCAAATGGTCCGCTGTCTTCAAGAGCTCCATCCGTTTTTCTCCATTTTGAGCTCTACAGGTGGACATGCTGTCAGTGGTACTGCAGAAACACCACAGGTGCTTTCAAATTTAGAAAAAGCTATTGAAATGGACTTTCTTGAACCCATGCTTTCCCGTTAAAAGGCTAATTTGTTTATACTCCTGGTCAATGAGAGCTGTTCTATTCAGCAACAAAGGTCAATTATAGTTTAGTGCACTTTTCGTGATACAGAGAGTGAATTGCTTTTAATTAAATAAAGTAAAGCATTAATATTTCTTGTGCCATGTGATGTGACAGCTAAGACAATGTGTTTAGGAGGAGAAGACTGCCTGAGCTGTTTTAACCTGATGGCCTGAGACAAGCTAGATGTAGGAAGAACTAAACTTTATCATGGCTTCTATATCTCTCTAATTTTATAACTGCTTAGAGTATGTACCATTTAATTGTACCTAGAAGTTACATTTACATTTTTTGTTCAAGAGGTTTTCCTTCCTCATTTGTGCTATGGCTGTGCTATATAATGTTAAATTATCACTTATTACCTGCAGGGTCTGGCTTATGGTCACTACCACAGAAATCAGTTACTTAAATAACTGAAGATGTGATTATTATTATCATTGAACGAAAAGACTCAGACAAAGTAAATATTCGCATCTATAAAATACAAAACAAACAAAAATCAAGTTATTCCTTATGTTTTCAGTTCGTTTAGTCTTAGTGACATCTAGTCAGATGTATTTTATTGTTTAAAGATTGTCTTTGACACTCCTGTAAGTCCAATATGCAATAGATATCGCAAAATGTCCCCACCCAACTTTGATTCTAACACTGCTTTACATTTATTTACATTTTTTATTTTTTATTAGTGACTCATGTCGCGTGCGGGGTAAAGGTAGCTACACTCAACGGTCCGCTCTGTGCTATATAAGGTGGTCCACAGACCCCTTCCTTCACTTTCCTTATACTGTACCGCATGCAGGCATGCGGACGGGCTTGCCTCTCACCCCGGCGTCTCATGGCTCCTTGTGAGTATGCAACCCGGCTGCACGCCTGCATCAGGTACAGTATAGGCAATATAAGGGAAGGGGTCTGCCGACCACCCTGTATGGAGAGAGAGAAGGGGGAGCAGACATTTCCCTCTGGTGGAGACAGTTTTGGGAACTGTCTAAAAACAAAACAGCAATCATAGAAATGTACAGTTCGAGTTAGTAGAGCCATTTCCCTTGCACACTTTTGATCAGAATCTCCATTTCGTTTTTGTATCATTATACCCCTTCCCTCCCTTCACTTTGTCACATTTTTCTCTTAAAAAAACCCACACAGATTTCAAATGTTCGAGGTTGGATACTGTAGTATCCTGTCTCAAGAAGAGAATTTTTTTTTTCTGCTGGATGGGTCACTAGTTCAGACATTCTTTGGGGGTGATCAAGCCAGTCCTCAAGGAATCAGTTTAATGGCTTACTTCAATCTATTGTGAACTATTTATGTTAAATCTGGGAAAATTTATTATTGTTATTAATTATTTTATGTATAGAGAAGAAAAAATAAATTGTGTTTTTTTTTTCTGGAGGCAGACCATAGTCAAAGTGTTAAGCTGTTTCATACACCCCTCTTTTATTCTACTACCCAATTGTGCGTGCACGAATTTGGGCGGTGTGCGATTTCGCACAAACGTGTCCAATGGTCCAAATCCACTCATCTTCTTTGGGATTATTTGGGCTCCAGGGTAACCGGTTTCATTTCGAAGGTCGACCTCTCGGATTTCGGCGGTCGGCGACTTCTCTGATAGAAAGTTTGATGCCGAACACGATGGTCTTTGTCCGGTCGATCTGCGATGTCGGGAACCCACCGTGCATCGGCGGCGTTAGATTTTGGCTCGTGCGGGGTCCCAGTCGGCGAGTGGGCGTGGCGGCGGCGCGTGGCGCAGGTATAGTTCATTCGCTTAATGTAGACACACCGGTATCCCTCTAAACCCAAGGCCCCATTGTAAGCGTCATTACGATGCGTGGAGCCTGAGGCCCAAGTATGTATGACACGGACCCGCACGGACCGTAACCAAAAATTACGGTCCCGGACCAGGCAACAAATCTTCAGCGCAAGGTTTTCTAACAGTGACGCGGAATCCGAATTTCCAACATGTCAACAACAACGTAGATAAAGAAATTACCTACGTCAATACAAAATTGCATTTCTCACTCGGAACCGGAGCATGGCGCCTGCAAGACACGGGGTAGGCCACTCCGCAGTACACGGATGCAATGCAGGCGAGATTTTGCCTACCCACCAGGCGCTACGAGAGCTTGCAACTGTCACAGTGCAAAATTTTCGGCGTTATTACAAATTTGGGTCGCAACTGGGTGGTGCGTGCGTGACGTGCGATCAGTCGGACGTCCCTTTTTTACGTCCTTGTTTGTAGCTACACGATTGTAGCTACAGCCGACAATGCCCGAGTCAGCTTAGACTGAACCGTCTATAGAGGAATTCATTACTTCCGCCAATTCTAGAATATCAACCAGAAGT